TTCATAATCAAGTTAAACAATAGGGGACTCAGGCAATTTCCTTATCTTATTCCATTGCCAGCATCAATAGGCTCAATTAGTTCTTCTACTTTTAATTTTATTGTGTAGTTTTGGTAGATATTCTTGATCGTCTTGATAATTCCTAGAGGTATCCCCCTTGCGTACAATAAGTAGATAACGTCCTTAAATATGACCTTGTCAAATGCCTTCTTAAGGTTCACGAAACATAGATATGCTGGTTTGTTGTATTTTAATGATTCCTCTTTCACTTGTGTTATTATAACTATAGCGTCGGTGCATGATGTTCCCGACCTAAAACCTTGTTGTTCTTCTGCTAGTGTCCTAATTTCATTCAGTTTATTTGTTATCATTTTGGTTGGTAACTCTAATGTTGTGAGTCATAAATTAATTCCTCTCTAATTTTCTGGGTCCGATTTGTCTCCCTTTTTGAAGAGAGGTGTTAGGATACTTGATCTGCATTCTTGAGTAATTCTGCCCTGTTCTATTATTTTTTGGATTCGTTTTAATAGTGATGTTTCCGATTAGCAGCGTTAGGAACTATGTTATATGTTATATATTCAGTTTTTTCCGTTCCTACGTTTTTTGTGTACGTCATTTGTTAAGTGACCATTGCACACTTTTACAGAGGGAATGAGGAATAATGGAAACTTATCGAATTGATAAGTGTATGTGTTTATATGGGTTTATGGAATGTAGAAATACGTATAAGGCATTTTCAAAGGTATATAAAAGTCAATAAGAGAAGCCAATATTTTGCAATTGATGGGAATAATTTTATCCATCTTTTATTCCAGATGATACATCTAAATATACATCTCTTTAATTATTTAATACAACTTTTAAGATTTCTGCGTTTCATTACTTTTATTCTTCCTCGACAAACTTCCATTCAGATCGATTTTGAGCAATTGCAATCCAGTTGGCACATATCCTCTTTATGTCGTCAGTCCATTTTGTGGGTGATTTTTCCGGGTTTCGTCTATCTACTTTCGGTCTCCATTTCAATATCTTTTTGGTCCATCCACTATATTTTACTCTAGTAATGTGTACTATCAACTTCTGCTTAATTTTAGCTATGTGTTTTATAATGTCCACTTCTTTTACGTATTTCTTCGTTTCTCACCCTATTTCTCAACAATGATCTTTCCATTATACGTTGAGTCACTTTTCGTAATTTTCCTGCAGATGTCTTTATTAGAGTAAGTGTCCCTGCTTCATATCTAAGAACAAACAGGACACATTGACTAAGGGCTCTCCTTTTTAAGCTGATAGGTATATCACCTTTAAAAACATCACGCTGTCTTCTATATGCAGCTCAGCAATTTGATTATCTTTGCTAATTTTTACCATATGCCCAAGGTATATGTAGCTGTTAACAACTTAAATCTCAATGTCTTCTATCTTTAAACGATGCCTCAGAATTAAATGCGTCATCACTTATTTCTTTTAGTAAATAATATTCAAACCTACTTTACGTGCTGCATCGCAATATCATTGGCAATTTTTAGGTCATCTGAAATCAGGACAATGTCATTTGCTAATTGTAGATAACTAAGCATCTCACCATTGATATTTACTCCTTTATTTTCTAATTTCAGTGATTTCAAAGCATGGTCAAGTACAATAATGAACAACTCAGGTGATATAATACCTCCCTGTCGAATACTTCTCCTGATATGTATTAATATTGATAGAACTGTGCAGATTTATAGTTGTAGCATTGCTGTATATATTTTGTTTATGTTGGTGTACCTATGATCAATTAGACACTCTTCCAATGTCTTTAGAAGCGCGGGTAGTACGATAATGTCAAACGCTTTCTGGAAGTCAATAAACGTTAAAACTAGGGCGACGACTAATAAACCAAGTATAAAACTTATACTCAGAATAAATCAGGTGTAGGCAAAATCACTACCAATAAACATGGAATAACTTAGATACATAGGTTATACTTGATATAATATTTATTCCAGGATTATACCAACTCACACCCTTGTTAAAGTCTGATATAACGGTAATACCTATTTTATATATTATTTTGATAAATTTATAAAGAATATATTATTTTTTGTATTGTTTTGTGAGTAGCAATATAATAAAAACATGTGTTTAAGAGGTGTTGCGGCTGTCGAGGAAGTTGATGATTTAATTAATATAATAGAAAATATACGAAAAAGAAAATCTTTTAGAGAAAGAATAAATCCCTTTACAAAATACACTGATACACTGAATTTAGAATAAAATATCGGTCTTCGGATAAAATATTGGATGGTGTAAAGTTTTTTGCAATTTTAAAATACTCAAACTCAACATATAATATATCAAATAAAGATATATTTGGTGTCAGTTGCCATTGTCAGTTTCAAAGAAAAATCAAAATTGATATATTTCACTCAATATGTCGTTGTTCTATGTATTTGTGCAAAAGATCGCGACATTGCCAAACTATTATTTCGGAATAAAGTGGAAATACTTATAACTAACATATATCGAGTTTATTTGTAACAAATTATTTTAGTATTATATTTACCTTATACTTAGGATAACTATTCTAGGTATAAATACGGAATATCTTTAGAATACGAGTGTTTTATTAGTAAGATAGTATAGTAAGATAGTAGAGGTCTACTATATTCAATTGATTTTTTAATCAAGACGTTTATACACTGTAGATGGTCATTTGTACTATAGTTGAAGCTAAAACCTGTTCTTTTGGCTAATACAGATCAAGATAGAGATTTTGTTTTTAATCTGTTGGATATTATTCTGGTGTACAGTTTGTATAAATGGTTGAGTAAAGAAATTGGCCTGTAATTCTTTAGGTATATGTTGTTGCTCTTTTTAAGCAGAAGAATTATAATAAAATTATTCCATATATATATATATATATATATATATATATATATATATATAATATATATATATAGCGATTGACTATGCAAGAACACAGTAAAGAGGTCTCGTATTTTCTTTGATAGAGAGGTCCCGGCAAGTTTTATAGCTTCTGTAAGTATTCCATCATCTCCCGCAACCTTGTTGTTTTTTTTTGAGTGCATATTATATTTTATCTTAAGTAATTTCTGGAATACCCTCAGATCCCTGGTTTTGTACCTTTTTTCTATCGTTTTAATTGATGTTATTGTTAATTTGGTTGGTGTATAACATAGCGTAGAACACTTCGCCTATTCGTAGTATTTTGTGTTTGTCCGTTGTTACATCATACCATAGAGCATCACACTTTTTATCCTTAAGCTTGAAGAAGAGTGAAATGTTATGGCCTTTATGACTCTCCAGATGTAATTCATAAAAGTGTTTTCTACTGAGTTCCCGCTCATACATCGGGGTAGTGACTACAGACTACAAAGAATACTACACTTTGTACTTATCCAACTCACCCCGTCGTCACTGAATTCGTCAACTGTAAATATAACTTATAGATATTAATCGTGCTATTGGCAGCGACGCAATTTTTTTTTAATTTGGTTAAATTAAAAGAAAGGTGATAAGTCTATAATTTGTAGTGTATTTCATTTTTTCACTGATTTAAATTAAGTATCTTACTTTTATATTGCATTATACATGATTTAGGTTTAAAAATATTCCAACTAAAGTCTGCTTTAGTGTCTTTTTGTTAAAATATATCATGGACGTATAAACATAGATGGACACAGCAATAAGATACCTTTAACACACAATGTTTTGAAGCTTCGATAGAATGTGATGCTTCCGCAATGAGCATAAGCGTGCTTGAATTATTACTCGCGGGTAATTATTCAGATTTTAAAAATTGGAAGTAGTAATAATGTATAAAAACACGTTCAAAGAATTTAAAAAAACGAGAGTTTAACTTTATAGAAAAATTAAAATACAATTTTATGTGCTTAAAATTACTACAATAAATTATGGTTGAATTCAAGTTAATTTTTAATAGATATCAAAATAATGCTACAATAAAAAATCTTTATGTTTTCTCCTAAATTTGCTACCAAAATAGTTCGATCGTCAATATTATTTGGAAACCTACATAGACAAATAAATGAGTTTTATTCATTTCACTAATTTATTTGCATCTATGAGAAATATTAAATTAAAAAAGTACTAAATAGATCTTTTTAAATCAGATGATGTCTACTTACAATTTAAAAATGTCTACTAATTTCATGAACTTATATCTTATTTAATACATTAATGAACATGAATAAACCCAATGGTACGCCTATTAAAATGTAAACAAACACGCCCCCTCATCTTAAATAATGTAAATTTTATGTACTGACAAATGAAATGAGAGATCGGGATGAAAATATTTCGTTTATTTTATTTCACTTTTCACAAATATCACTCAAAATACAGCCAAAATATCGAAAAACGACTTTTACTAAAAGGTAAACAAACATGGAACAGCATTTGAAGTTTGACGTAGATCCATAAGACAGAGAAATGTAATCAACCGTTGCCATTTATAAATAGTTTTCGGTGCTTCTACATATAAAATAATTGATTGAAATCTAAATTATACGTTATTATTAAATGATAATGCACACTATGTGCACACTTTATATTTTGATTACAATTAAATATATTAATCTAAACAATAAATTATTATTTTGGTTTGATAGCACCTGTAGAGCATAAAATACGGAGTAATATTTTCAGCGACTTGCGAATAAGAAATTTTAAAACAAAACGTGACAACAGCTGAAGGTGCTGAGAATGTGACCTATTCAAATAATTTTGACTTCACAATTTTATGTAAATAACTGAGTCCATCTGTGTTTATACGTCCATGAAATATATAGACACTGGTTTTGAAATAAAACAAAATTTGTCAAGTGTTTAATTATCTAAACAGGGCATGATATCCAATATCTTTTACTGAAGCGCGGTTTCCAATATTTTAAATCAGCAAATTCTTTCATGTCTCTGGTTCTTTACATTTCTTTAATTACATTACATTTAATTACATTTAAAATTTTTAGATAACTGGTGGGAGTGTAGATTTAACTAGAGGTAATTTAAATGACCTTGATACAATTTCTAGAGGCGGAGATGTTATTCTTACATACGAAGGGGATAACAAAAAACTTGTTATTGAACTACCAATTACTTTTGGAGATTTACGAGTAAGTATTATTTTTTGTGGCCAAATAACTATATAGATTTATTGAATATGTATATGTTCCTTTAGCAATTATTACTTGTAAACTGATCTAAAATGTTATATCTTCAACAAAACTTTTTTTATTTATCTATTTCCAATAATTCACTTTGAACGTGTTTAGTTTATGCCGCGTAAAATAACCCTTAAAAACTTTATATTAAAAATTGCGTAATATGTTATTTTGTGTTTAGTTTATGCCGCGTAAAATAACCCTTAAAAACTTTATATTAAAAATTGCGTAATATGTTATTTTGTGCATATACCACTATATGTTCCAGTATACTCAAAACCTTAGAAGCCTTTGTCTAACAAAATAAATCAACATAATGATATATAGAACTTTAATATTCAACTAACAATAAATATACCGAAATAGCCAAATCCAAAGATGAGATTTCTACAATAAAAGTTAGGTAGAAACTTTACAGTAGGCAGGACATTTGGCTATATCAAATCAAAGCTACCCTATAAGATGTACATACTCTATTAGTAAAACTCGAAGAAACTAGACAACGAAATAGACCAAAGTGAGAATTGACATGACTCATGAGGTTTATAGTATAGCTATAAGCCTAATTAGTCACCTTCTAAAATTGTTCCTATAGATAATTCATAAGAGAATCTACAAGTTGTGTGTCAAGTCAAATTTCCCCCAACCAGTTCGGGTTCACAAACGCTGTTGATACTAGAGAGGCTTTATTCTCAGTACAAGTCTTATTTTAGAGATGCAGAGACGTCAACTGCGCCGTATACGCATGTCTGGTTGATTACGAGAAAGAGTCTCCTCTAATCTTTAATCTGTACTCTGACAGAATATTTATCGAAGCTTTTCACGAAGCTGAAAAAGGTATTCCACTAAATGGTTACCGGCTAAATAACATGAGATGTTCAGATGACACCATAGTATTTACGAACAACTTAGAAGACCTACAATTTCTTATGAACAAAACCACGTATTACAGTCAACAAGATGGACTCAATATAAACGTTAAGAAGACAAAGCTTATGATAATTAGCAAGAAAAGGATAACAGGAGGTCAACTCAACGTCAATCAATCCCCTGTAGAAAGAGTGACGCACTACAACTACCTCGGCACCATAATAAATGAAGAATGGATCAACAACCACGAGATTAGAGCACGCATCGTAAAAGCTAAATCCACCGTTAATGGTATGTGGGCCTTCTTCAAGGGTCACAACCGCTCTCTTGATACAAAAGTAAAAATACTGCGGTGCTACGTCTTCTCTGTCCTTTTTTATGGTGTTGAATCGTGGTCCTTGAAAGAAGTTATGTGCAGAAAACTGGAAGCATTTGAGATGTGGCTATATCGAAGAATATTTAAGATCCCATGGACTGACCGAGTCACAAATGAGGAGGTCCTCAGAAGAATGAATAAGAAACGAGAAGTACTGACCACCATCAAATCTCGAAAGTTACAATTCTTCAGACATATTATGCGAAATAAATCCAGATATGCTCTCCTGCAAGTAAAAATATTTGGAAAACGAGGTCCAGAAAGAAGAATAACATTTTGGCTAAATAACCTGAGAATCTGGTTCAATACAACATCTGTGCAGCTTTTCTGAGTTGCTGCAGATAAGATAAAGATTGCCATAATGATCGCCACCATTCGTAACGGATAGGCACATCAACAAGAAGAAGATTGACATGTGTTCTAGATGAATAAAAGTGCTTAATCGGTGTGACAAACTGACACCAAGGTTCATATAATGGGACCAAATGGAAAAATAGGCTTAGGAGATTAAGATTAAACTAACGTCATAGCACCATTAAAAATGATAATAATTCTGCTAGGTGATGATTTTATTACTATTATTTTAAAATTTATAATGGTGCATTTATCGGGAATGCGGAAATAAAAAATTTAATAATGCTTGCTAGAAAGGTATGCTAATTATTTAATATTAAATATCCAAAAGATGCCATTTCTGCCTAAAATTAGTGAAATAGCAAAAAAAATTTATGTAACTAGACACATAAAGCACAAAAAGGTATATAAATCTGTCCTTCTACAAAGACTACCGAATAGTCATAATAACTGAAGGGTTTGAAAAGTGAAGATGCTATGTTACAAATAACTAAATGTGAAATAATCGAGCTTAAAATTTGTCTTATTGCATTAAATTTTGAATCTACAATATTTCAGATAAGAAAAGTGTTTAAACACAAACATGTAGGACGCTACCCTTTTTAATTGCCTGCAAAGCTACTTCGTAATACCCTCTATGTTCAAGGGTACATGGCAAGAACTGTTTAATGTATTTTTTCTCTGCAGACAAGTTGCCAATCTTCTTGTTTATCTTTAAAACTACAAAGTTTGGAGATATAAGACACATTGTTTTATTTGTCTTATTGTAGACCTATAACGTTAAACGTCCAGTTTCTTGAACGGCATGTTGGTGTCGTAGCTATATTTAAACAGATAACTACCAAATTCATCTATCACCCATTTGATGCCATCCCTAAGATGAAAAGTTTCTCCAAGGAGGTAATTTTTCTAGTTTACTATCTTTATAGATTTAGCTGGCAATAACAATGTAGCAAACTTGCATTACAAGTTCTCTTTCAAAGATGTAGAGACGTCAACTGTGATATATATATATATATATATATATATATATATATATATATATATATATATATATAATATATATATATAATATATATATATATATATGTGTGTTTTGTTGATTGCCAGAAAGCGTTCGATAGAATAAAACATGACGAACTAATGAAAATATTAAATTCAATTGGTCTAGACAGCAGAGATCGCCTTTATCGAGATCGAGATCGAACAATATATATTACGAACAAACTGCAGCTGTTAGAGTTGGAGATCAGTTACCAGACGATATAAAGATAAAAAGAGGTGTACGACAGGGATGTATACTGTCCCTATTGTTGTTCAATGCATATTCAGAGCACATTATCAACCTAGCGCTAACGGACGTAGACGAGGGAATACTTTTAAACGGAGAACGATTTAACAACATAAGATACGCTGATGATGCTGTCATTTTTGCAGACAGTGTTGAAGGTCTGCAGACACTTGTCTCCAGGGTGGCAGAAGTAAGTGGCAGGTTTGGGCTTGATTTTAACATCAAAAAAACCAAATACATGGTTATAAGCAAAAATAGGATACCACCTGGTCAATTACTAGTTAACCAACAACCTATAACACAAATCACCAACTTTTGTTATCTGGGTGAAAATTTAAATGAACAGTGGGAGCAATCGACGGAAATTAAGATAAGGATCGAGAAGGCAAGATCAGCTTTCCTCAGCCACGACAAAAAATTGAAAATAAAAGTTCGTTTACTAAAATGCTACGTATTTTCCGTGCTTTCATATGGCGTAGAGTCATGGACCTTAACTGAAGCATCACTGAAGCGACTCGAAGCATTTGAGATGTGGTGCTATAGGCACATGTTGAGGATTTCCTGGATAGGCAGAGTTACCAACGAAGAAGTACTACATACAATGGGTAAAGAGCGCGAACTAGTCGTAACCATAAAACGTCGAAGCTAGAATACCTAAGCCATATAATGCGCAATGAACAACGATATGACCTACTTCGGACCATATTTTAAGGTAAAGTGCATGGGAAAAGAGGTCCAGGACGGAGAAGAATATCCTGGCTGCATAACCTGCGAAAGTGGTTTAACCTAACCACTACCGGACTTTTCAGGGCAGCAGTCAACAAGTCAGAATAGCCATGTTAGTGTCCAACATCCGTAACGGATAGGCACCATAACAAAAAGAAGAGATTTAGCTAATTCCTCAATGTAAAGCAAGGTCCTATATTTATAACATGGTTTTCGTTGATTGTTTGCAGTATTATCTGTCGATACTCATCTGGTAAGAACATATTAGGCTGTGTCCGTAAGTTATTTTTGATACAACTAAAGTCACGGTCTGAATCTAGGTAGGAGTGGAAATTTGTGGTCTATAGTTTTGAAGTACCCTTTCAAAATCATGTACTAATACAAACAAACAATCTAAAAATTCTTATTTGACCACACTTACAGATGATTTTTTTCTCGAAGTGTTCTATCACTTTTAAGCACACTCAACAGTGAACTTACAACTTCTTTACTGCCACGATTTGCTATGTCTTTTGTCTAGGTAGAAGATAGGCATATGCCTACGTTTTTTAAAATTATATGCAGACTGAGATTGGAAAACCACATTTGTTTTTTATAAAAAGCTTTTGATGTGAGCAAACGAGGCAATGGTATAGTCTGTTGCAGATTCAGAATGACGTATGTAACATTGTTCAACACATTGGTACTTTCTCTGTCAGTTTTTTGGGCCTCAAATGTAGATTTATAAAAGTCAACATGTTCTTGTAACCATTGTCCACTATCAGGTGTACTACATGTGCACTCTTAGGTTGTTCAATGGATAATTTGAATTCATTATCATAAATAAAGCTTGTACATTTTAAGTACTGACAACAACGGTGATAAGTATTTTTTGTTTAGATTGTTAGCTCTAGAATAATGAGACAACTCAGCAGTAAACGAAGCAATGTCCTATTTTTTTGCATCTGGATTAAGTTTAGTAAGCCTGTTGTTATGATTTTCTGTTTAAGTGTGGCGATGACAAACCTTTTTTATTTTGTTTTTGGATAAGAGATACTTTCTTCTGAGCTATTTGGTACAATGGCATTAGAACTGATTTACAAATTGGCACGTGATATATTTTACTATAATACTGTACTTAAAAGATGCAGCTTTATGCGTGATTGCACCCTTGCGTCTTCGCAGAGATTCCATTCAGTCATTAAAAATTAAAACTATTGTATCCTGGTTTATTCTAGTTAAAAACTCTAATCGGGACGTCTTATTACAAATATTGTTATTCTCATTAATGAACTTGCCAGGAATTATTATAATATTACGAGATAAGTAACTTTCTCCACATTTTCTTGTTTTATCACCCACATTTCTTTTTCATTATTCTTTATGGTTTTGTGTCGTTTTCTAGATAATTTAGGTTTTTTTACTTCTCATTTCAACAAGCAGCTACACCTTAATTTACAAAGTCAACAAAGCACATTGACTAAGTGGATGAAGGTGTTATGACTCTGTCCAATACAGTGTGGTGTTCGGTACTGGGAAAGTCTCCCCGACATACTGATAACTATTCTCAAGGTCTTCTGTAACATAACTTACAGGAAAAAATAGATACTGATAAAGAATGAGTTTATGTAGGAATATAGAGTAAGATATTAAAGCATGTTCAATCGCAAATTCTTTCAAATATTTGTCCTCACAAATTTCTTTTAACTATGGCTAACAAATCCTTAGACGAGTTATATTAAGCTTTCTAATTAGCAAATCGTGGACAAGACTTGGTACTTCTACAATCCTTTTCAATACAATAGTATAAACCTTTACAATAGTATAAATTTGATTCGCCCATAGTATTCCTAATATTGTTCTGAAGCTATTTTCTTGTGGCATTGTAAATTAATTACTATTAAACTGGGAATAAGCCACAATTAAAGATATAAATACGTTTATTGACGTTTCAATTTCCACTTCGGAAATCGTTCTCAAAATACAAACAGTAAATTAAACAAATTTTGTTTTTTGTTACATAGTGAAAAATTCTTCTAATAATTTAATTTTATCTGACTCATTTATATTGACAATTCAGACATACATTATGCATTTTAAAGTAGACGACTTTAAAATGATATTGCCAATATTGTTGAGTTGCGCTCCTGGGGCGACTTTACTTATAAGATAATTCATTCGATTATATGAAATCAACTTTAACTTGAGAATATCCGTCAGAAAAAAATCATAGCATGTAATTCGTCTTTAAAAAGACAAACACATGACATGATGACAGTAAAATTCTCCTGTTAGTGATTCCATAGTAAATTATGAAGGAAAAACCAGGAAAAAAACCTCATAATACTATCCCGACATTGTAAGTATTTGTTCGTGAATTTAGTTTACTTTCAACATACATCAAAATTCTGATTTTATATGTTAAGTTATTTAAAAAACACAAATGATGTATCCTCTGTATGTTACTGACTTACTAATACTGGTATTTTCTTGTTAATAACTTCCTCTTTCAATATTGGTAACCAGATCCTACTACATTCTGCCGAGGAATTTAGCATAATTAGAGCCGCTTCTTTGATTTTTCTTTTTTTACCATCCGTTTCTTTTAGGACTACATTTGAATTATTCCATTGAACCCTATGTTCATCATCCCATGCGTGTTTACAGATTTGAGATCTATCAAATTCTCTATTTTTAATATAAGATTGATGTTCACTTATTCTAACATTTAATGGCCTTGATGATTCACCTAAATAAAACTGATCGCATTCACAAGGTATTTTATAAATGCAATTCTTTGTCCTTTCTTGTTCATTGTTAGGTTTGGTTTTGGACAAAATAGATCTCAACGTGTTTGTTGTTTTATTTTTTATATATTTTGCAACTCAACAATATTGGCAATATCATTTTAAAGTCGTCTACTTTAAAATGCATAATGTATGTCTGAATTGTCAATATAAATGAGTCAGATAAAATTAAATTATTAGAAGAATTTGTTTACTATGTAACAAAAAACAAAATTTGTTTAATTTACTGTTTGTATTTTGAGAACGATTTCGGAAGTGGAAATTGAAACGTCAATAAACGTATTTATATCTTTAATTGTGGCTTATTCCCAGTTTAATAGTAATTAATCATAGTATACCTGTTGGAATACGCAACTATTATTTTTTATCAAAAGGGCATGTAATTGAGCTGTATACTGTATTAATGCGTTAATTTCCATTTGATTATCTTGCAACACTGTGCTGTCCAGTCTAGCTTGCAACTTGTCTGTAGATTATTTTGTATTCTTGGTATTTAGCGTTATGATAAATAGTTTTTATTGCTTTCTAGTGATATTATGATAGTCGTATACTATTTATTGTGAATTTAGCAAACATTTCATGTTCGTTACACCAATGATACCAGAACATCATGGGAAAAGTCAAATACATCTCACCAAGGAAAATAACGGAAATAAAAACTTTTGTTTAGAAAGAGAATACTGAGTGTAGATCTCTTAAGTGACTCTACTTCTTCATAGATCTGACAATTGTCCCGATTTCCATAATTCTATTAAGCCCAGCTGTTAACTATTTTGTGGCTCTCCATTTATACTTCTTCAGAGATATAATCGGGTACAACCATTTTATCTTTCTTAATTTTCTGTTTTGGCTAAGAAATTTTCTCATTTTTAAATTCTTTCGCCGTTGCTGTTACTGTCAGCGCTAGTTCTATTGATTTCCTGAAGAAATAAATTTTTCTATACGTGTCATAAACTAATTATAAACCAATAGAATATAATACTTTTCCTTTAACTTTGTTAAAATAAAAAGGCAGATATCGAGCACAGTTTATTAATCAAATCTTGCCCAACTACTTTCGCTTCTTAGAGCAACTTTAGGGGCATGTGAAATAAGCGAAGAAACGTTTTTTTTTTTTTATGAAGAAAATCAATTAACTTCGATAAAAACTCGTTGATGGTTGATAAAAGTTTTTATGTGATATAACGTTTTAGACTTACTTCGTCAATTTTGGCCTATCCAACAATTTGTGGAGAATGTCATAAACATAAAATTGTACATTACACTACACTACACAAGGACAAACAGTTTAAAATTTTTTAAAAAGAGAAGCTACATTATTCTTATGGACATGTGACATATGACAGCTTAGATGGGCAGTCCCAATCATGGTGATGTGATCTGCTCATTTCAAAATTCTTTGAAACTAAGCATTGACCAAAGGTATAACTGACACAACTATAGAAAACCAACTGATGAAATATGAAATTATATATTTTAAGTAGATTGCATAATCCGGATCTCACGAAATCCGGATCACCTCTAGAAAAGGGGATAATGAATATTCCATTACTAAACCTGTTGATTGTTTTTATATTTTTTGATTAAATTGGAAGAAGTCCTAATTAAGACAAAATTTAAACATAGTTAAAATAGCATGTTTGTTTTTTGCTGGTATGTTGCAATTGCTTAAAACGTTGTGTACTAAAGGTAATGTTTCATCTCTTGGTACAGAAGTAAACTAATTGGAAACATCAAAAGAAAGTAAATAAAAACTCTTGTGTTTTAATCTTATTTAAACGTTCTATTAGATCTAAAGAATTCGTAATGTAGAACTTAAGTATAAAATTAGTGATAGACTGAATTGTGTTGTAAATAAACTCTGATAATATAGAAACTGGAATCTTGCAAAAACTTACAACAGGCCTTAAGGGACAATTGTGTTTATGGATTTTAGGAAGTCCATATAACCTAGGTGTTATAGGATTAGATACAGTTAACTTTCTGTTGTTATATTTAGTAATAGTGTCATTAAACAATTTAAGCATTGCTTTTGTTTTATTAATAAAGGTGTTAAGTGGGTTTATTTCCAAAACTATAAAACTGTTGTCTGAGAGGAAAGATTATACTTTTTCTATGTATTAAATTTGTTCTAAGATTACAACACAATTTCCTTTATCAGCCTTGCTGAGTACTAGAGAATCTCTATCGATTTTTCGTATGACTGATTTTAGCAAATCTTTTGTTTTTAAAATAATGGTGATATCTATCAAAATTACGTTTGTACTTACATTGTTGTTGTTGAAGTAAGCTAATGCAAGAGTTTCTCAAATATCGTTTAATTTCAGTATTGTTTGTCATACCTTCTATTAGAGTATTTTCATTTATTTTTTCTTTTAGTTCCACTATCATCACCACACCAAAGCATTATTCATTAGCATGAGTGGCGAAATTGACGGTACTGTTCAACATGTACAGATATCTGCTATAGCAAGTTTAGACCTTAATGCTAACACTATTTTCTTGGATCATTATGACATGAAACATTCTGGGTAAGTAATAATTTTTGTATATTATTCAAGATAAATTGTTAAGCAATCTAGAAAATCTTTTATTGTTATATTTATCGATTTCAAAAAGATACTGTAAATGTAGCAAAGCGACAAAGCAATAAATTAGATAAGTTAAAAAAATTAGTCGTAAAACCTATTTGCAAACCAGAACATAAGAAACCTAGCTACACAAAAACTGCAAGAAACCTTTCCCAGTATTCGCTACGTACTAACAAATCAATAATTTAAAATTCTTTTTATAAAGTAATGAAATAATAATATGAAATAGTATATTACATAACGAGAGTTGTAAGAAGCTTATTACGTGCGAGTAAAAAAGTTGCGCGCGAGCCGCGTAGCGGCGAGCGCAGTAATTTTACAAGCATGTAATAAGCTTACAACTCAAAATGTGTACTATACTTTTTCTACGATTATTTTCGTTTATAAAAATACAAATTAAATTACCACTATCTTTACACTGACAGATTAATAATTTTTAATATATCAAAATAACGTCTGTTAATTCGTTTCCACGGTAACTCGACCAACTGACTTACGAGGCTTATGTGATATTACACATTTTTATAAAACTGAAGCGTAATTTTTTTTATTACGTGCTAGTCATTACGTGTCAGTATCTGTTATAATGCATTTACTTAGCATCCAAATAGTAGGTAATATACAATTTACTAGTAAGAGAGTAGAAAAATAATAATACATGTCGCACTAATAATACAATAGTGTCGTAACTCAAAAAAGATGATTTTTCAGAATCAACGAAAAACTGATTACTCATTTCCTATTGCAGGTAAAAATAAAATTAATGCATAATATGTTTCTAATTAATATTAAATGAAGTTTATTTGTACTCTTTGTTAAATAAAAATACTGACAGTGAAGTTATTAAAAAAATTTGAGTTAACACTGTATTGCTCTAAGCAAAATGTTCAAAATGAAATATTATTTTTAGTTATGACATTATTTATGAAATATTTTGTGTTACTACAATTTGATTTACTATTTTTTCTGTGGTTTACGTTAGTTTTTGGACTTATAAAAATTTTGGGAACTTGATTCTTGGTATTTATTAACTTCGGATCTAAAGAGATTGTTTTCAATTACGTTTGATCAAGACTGTTTTTAATTACGTTTATATTATAATCAAACAAACTCAGATACAGATAACAAAATACAGTATTCTTGAACATTTTGTACTTAATCTATATATTTAACAAAATAAACCTTCTGAAAAAAAGAACACAAAATATAGTCATATTTAAGTAATTCGTGATTAATTAGAAGGACCTATTTAAAAGAAAAACACATTATTTAAACTCAGTCTCAAAACTCAGAGTTTCAATCAGTCCCAAAATCAATTATTACTGATTACAATTAAATACAATTTTAATTTTTAATCGATCAAATCCTTATAGTAAGTTTCACGGTAACTTCTGATATTACATTTTTGTCAAGCAATTCCTTTAAGTCCCTTTTCTTATTTTCAGTTAAAGGTATCTTGTTTGTGTACTCTCGTGTCAAACCATTAGCAAATAACGAAGTCTGAATTTCAGTTCGTCGTAAGCTACGTACGAAACTTTTTGGTAATCTTCATCTTCGTAAGAGTTCTTATAAAAGAAACTAAATGGATGTTCGTTTTCAACACGAAATACCTTAATGTCATGCCATTTGATTTTGTCTTTTTCTTCATTATCATTAAAATTGTTACCCCACTCTTCTTGAAGTAATTTCAGATTGTAAAATTTTTCATTGGTCATTTCAGTAACGCTATAGGGTTTGCCTGTCTTTTTAGCCGACTGAATTAATGTCATGTTGTGGGACATACACTGGACCAGATTTTACGAAACGTTTTACTTGCTTTTCTATGACGCTATGCACATTGTCACCCTCGTTTTGAGAGTGACCGCGAATCAGAAATTTATGGGTTATGCTTTTGACATTCATTTTTTGTAATGCGTACGCATATGCTGTAAGGATGTATTTATTTTTTTGTTGTCCGCAACAATTATCAGAATAAAATATAAAATCCAGTTCTTTACCAGGATTAGCCTGTAAAATTTTTTCTATATATTTCAGAGTACAACTCCCAATCTCATTCGCACCACGTTTTCCCTCCGATTCGTCCCAAAAATAGCATTCGACATTTTTAGCGAACAAGTCACTCACAGTAAAATTAAAACAGTTAATTCTACTTTTGTAAAAAAATAATGAAACTTGGCCTTTTGGTACTGGCATCACAGCTTGAAAGTCATATACAGCGACTATTGTTGAATCTATGTTAGCATTTTTGTCTTTTTCTTTCTCTTTTCTGGACAGTTCTTTTTCTTTCAAATGGTTTTCGTACGCCACAATAATATTCTTTTTTCCATCTTCATCAGAATTTTTGAAATATTGGCAAAGATCACACTGATCGTTTTTTGGTTTGTGGAAGGAAATGTTAAAGTCTTTATTAAAAATGCGGTTAAAGGTAGATGCTGACGCAAATGATAAGCTTCCTTCTGTACATTAATCTTTGTGTCTCGATATAAATCAGCTAAAGACTTGTCACTTGCCAGTATTGCGAAGTTGTTTGGCTACACTGTGTTTCCAGGTTTTAATATTACGTATCCTCTTTTTGCCCTTAGTATTATTGTTTTGGTCTTCCAAGGAAAATTTTAATTCATTAGTTAACCCACTAGTTCCAGCAAAAGGACTTAAATTATGAACAACTCTATTATCCGAGCTACTTGATGAACAGCTACTGGTAGAAGAGCTACTCGATGAAGAGCTTCTTGAAGAAGAGCTACTTAATGATGTTATTGTTAGGCCTTGAAGCAAACTATAGGTTTTACTTTGCACACCAGGAACGAAATGCGGATCTTGGTCGGAATCATCGGAATCAAAGTCGCCCTGGTCTTAGTGGATCGGTGAAATGTAATATTGCCCGTGGTTGGATTCTATAATAGGTTTAACATTACTAACCTTACTAAAGAAACTTCTTGAAGTTTACGTCAATTTCTTGAAGTACTTGATCACTCGTAAATGGTGAAGGTATAGAAGGTGATCGTACTTTCGCAACGTCACTGTTTTCTATTTGGACATCAGGTTCATTATTTCTACTCTCCAGTGACAATAATGACGGTGAAGAGATTTCCTGCTCGCAGTCCTCAGCTTTTTTTGCCATAGCAACAAGTAATCGCACACGACTCATAGGTATTAAACCTACAAATGAATCAATTAATATTATTAGATTAAGTATATAGCTACTTGACGGAAGAATGTCACAAAGAGTGTATTAACTCTAAATTTATAAAATAAAGTAGTTGATAAGCTTTCTTAATAACAATGCTACACTTCTTAAATGAGTTATTACTATTCAGTGATCGGCAAATAGATATTGATTAATAAATGTTTTACAAACAACAACAAAAATGGTTTAAAGTGATTATTCAACAATAATGTAGCATGTCAAAAATAATGAACTGAACCAAGAATAGTGTCGTTAGTAAAAATATTAATTTAAAAAGTGCTGGTGTAAATCAGTAATAGTGTAATAACTAGAAAAACAACAATATTATGGTTAGGTTCAAATCAACAAGAATGTAATAACTTGAAATATAGCTATGAAAATTACATACCTGATTCAGCAATAACGTTGAAACTCGAAATGATGAGCAAAGCAATACGTGCGTTCCCGATCACCGTTGGTTGCAACTAATTGGTATATGTATTGTGAACTAAAGATCACGCGATATTGTAAAGGGGGTGACGGCAGTCGGTCAGTCATGAATATCGTCTTATGGCGCCATATCTTATTCATTTATGGCACTACTAAAACGACAGTTTATTGACTTATAGGGAATTAAATTTTACGCGTGAATATAATGTTATGTCAATTTCGACGAATTTTGAGTTGCGACACTATTGTATTATTAGTGCGATGTGTATTAGGTGGTAAGAGTGTATTAATACTGTTGTAACACTCGTAATATATTAATACTGTTGTGACGAAGCTTAATCTTCTGTTGTATAATGATCATGGATGATTTGAAACGAATGGCTTCCACTCGAAACCACCTACATCAAATGCTGTAGAAACTTTCTCAAATGATATCCGTATGCACTTTATACTAGACAAGTGCCGAGTTCAAAATATGTAGTCAGAGGAAAGGTTCAACCTGGAGCTTTCGAACTTTTACGGACTCAACTTTTTTACTGAATTTTTACCGAACCCGAATCTTTTACAGAATCTGGCTAATAACCCTATACCCAATTCTATACCCACTCGTTCTTAGGGGCTTGAAAAATTCAGTAATAATGTGATCTCGTGGTAAATTTTAAATTCGGATAATACAGCGATGATACTCCACCCCTGGTAGTTGCTGAGTGAATTGAGTAGCTCTGTAACTATCAGTGTCGGTCCCAAGCCGGGATAAAGAAAGAGAGTTTGCGTCAGGTAGGGCTTCCGGCAGTAAAACCTTGCTAAAACCATGAAAAGAAGGAATATGGAAAATAGTTTAGAGGCTTGCGAAACCGTGCGAAAAGTGAGCTAGAGCTACCACTTAGATGACGGAGGGAGCTAAAAAAGCTAGTCCTGAGAGTTGCAGCTCTCAACGTCAGAGACATGACAGGTAAACGAAGAAAGCTCGCCGATTTTATGCAGAGGACAAGGATTAGTGTACTTTATGTGCAAAAGACTTGTTGGAAAGGTAATAAGTCGACGGATCTCGGATATGGATGCAAGTTAATATACAGTTGTTCGAACTATCGCAGAAGAAATGGAGTAGGTATTATTTTGAACAACGAATAGAAGGAACATCTTGTAAGAAACAAAAGAATAAGTGATAGAATAATGTGTCCAACTGAATACCAACATGAGCATCATATGTACATACGCCCCACAGGTAGTGTGTGAAGAACAGGAAAAGGAAGAATTTTCGAGGGATCTTGATTGTAAGATGCTCAAGATCTGTAGACAAGTGTTTTATTGGAGGTGATTTAAA